TAATTATTAATCACTATTGTACCACAGATAGTGATTTTCTTTCCATGAGAACATTTCCTATGTGTGAACACTTGGGTACCCTACTCCTTGGATGCAGTAAAAGGCAAATATGGCAGTAGTAAAATTAAACATTTGATCTTTTAATGAGAATAAGTGGAACATGTAGGTAACATTTACAGCTGTCACAAAGAATGGTCTTCAGGTTTGGATTACCGTAGAATGTAAAAGCAGAGAAACTGAAAATTTATTTATTTTCTGTTGGACATCATTCAGAAATCGTATGTTTTTTTTCTAAACCCTTCATAAGTTGTGTTGTATGAAACAAAAAAAAACAACAATTTTCGCTTCAGACTAACTGTTAGTTCTTCACTATAACTATAGAAAGTAAATATAGCATCTGCATTCAGGCTGAAACGATATATTTCAAAATTGATATTGATTGATTGATAACACATGGATTATAAAACATTTGCAACATATTTAATACGTGTTTGCTGTTACTGAATATCTGTATTTTATGTATGCATCTCACACTGTATTGTAATATGACATAGATATATTGGAAAGGTTTTAAAGATGACTGTGGTACAGTACATGTTTCTTCTCAGGTTTAGTAAATTGTATCCTAAAATCTAATTTATTAATTTCTTGACTGGTAATATGCACCTTATCTGTGCAAACTAAGATTCAGTATCTGACAATACCATACTTTTCATTTTTTTCTTGTGAACCATATTCTTTTAAATTAAATACTGTCTGAAGCTTTGTTACTGTATACTGTTAAATAAAATACCTTTTAGCTCTATGGATTTGTAACGGGGAACATATAATGTTAATGACAAGTTGTTCAAGACAATAAGTCAAGATTTAATTTGCTAACTGTTGCATTAGCTGCTACAACGTATCATATTCCCTTGGTACTTTTACATCATTTGTAGAGGTCAAATTTAATTTCTTGAGCAATGTGAAATGCAAAATTCTCAATGACAAGGTTGGTTTCTTCTAAACTAAGTTGCATTAATAAAATCTAAAATTGTAGAGAGCGTTAGTAGAGGCCTTGAGAGTAAAAAATGTATGCTTACATACAGTCTGTTGTACTCTTGCTCGTGTCTAAGATGAATAAGACTTTTTCATAGCGGTGTACTGTATGTAATATCATCTAGTTCCTACAATAACTGATAACAGATGTGCAGGTGAAGTTCCATTAGTTCAAATACTGAGCTGCAGGAACAGGTAAAGGTTTATTCCGTGCTGTTGTGAAGGCTCCACAGCCGAAACATTGTGTCTCTTTTCTTTTCAGTTTGGGATAAAAAAGCAAAGTTAGAACATTATGCTCAACTGGCTGATTGATGGTTGTGTTCTGTTTGCGGAGCAAAGCCGAATGTTCCCCTCTTGTTTGCAGCTGTACTTGAACTGTATCTACAGTAGTAAACCTCATCAATCACAGTGACAATTT